AAGTGGCACCGTGAGATCTTGTCTAAAAAACAAACAAAAAGGCTGGGCCCAGTGACTCACGCCTGTAATCCCAGCACTTTGGGAGGCCAAGGCGGGTGGATCACGAGGTCTGGAGGTCAAGACCATCCTGGCTAATAAGGTGAAACCCCGTCTGTACTAAAACATACAAAAAATTCGCCGGACTTGGTGGCAGGTGCCTGTAGTCCCAGCTACTCAGGAGGCTGAGGCAGGAGAATGGTATGAACCCGGGAGGCGGAGCTTGCAGTGAGCCGAGATTGCGCCACTGCACTTCCAGCCTGGGCAACAGAGCAAGACTCCGTCTCAAAAACAAACAAACAAACAACAACAACAAACAAAAAAAAAGGAAAAGAAGACACATTTTCATTGCAAACTCAATCTTCATTTAAAAGGGGATCTCTTTTTCACTCTCCACAGAACATTTTCTACTACAGACGTACTTGGCAGACTTCTCAAGATCTATTACCCAACATCAGTGTGTTATCTAGACATCTAGAAACACACTTCAATATTTCTTCTTTAAAAAACCAAAACTTCAATAGTCATGAAAAACAGGAGCACCTCCTGCTCCGCTCTCTAACTATTTGAACAATATTTCTCATCAATTCAGAAATTAGTCTGGCCTTTGCCCTGGGGACATGTGTGCCAGGTATTAAGGACCGTTGAGGGACAATCTGTGTCATAGGGAAGGTGGCATCTGTTCTATAGGATGTAGCCTTCTTTGTGGGGCCAGTCTTTTACCTATATGACAAGTCCTCATCTTCCATGTCTGACTGCCTGCCCTATGGACTTTCTGCCTGTCTCTGAGGATGGTTCTGGTGGCCAAGGAGGAAGCTCTTGGCCTTCAGTTGCTCTCCCATGTCTGTCCATGGTAGACTTAGCACAGAGCAAACCTTTGGAATGGAAAATGCTGGATTTCCCTATGGTGCTGTGGTATTGACCAGCGTGTGTGTGAGTGTGTGTTTGTGTATAGACAGGGGGTGAGAGGAAGGGAGGAAACAAATGTATAAATCACATCTTGCAAATCCTTCCATTCTTAGCCAGCTGTAAACTCATGTCTTTGCTTTTCTCAAGCTTTGATTTATGTGTTGGGATCATGGGGTTTGTGTCCCTTCCTCTGGCTGTAAGTTTGGATTTAGCAGGGTGCTCCATAAAAATGTTATGTGATTTGCATGCTCCGGGCTGATTGAGTTGCATTCTTTATAGGATCATTTTTCAGATGGATGGTCTCTGTGGGCCTCCATTCTTTTGTTTTCTGGGGTTCAAAGGTCACATCAAAAACCTCCCGGCCTGCTGCCTGATGTGACCTTTGAACTCTAAAGGGCACAAGATCATCAGGCCATAAAATAAGGCACAAACACTAAAGGTGTCATTCTGATTGTCCTCAAAGGATAGAAGTTTAAGGCTTGGACACATGATTCAGGGTAGAGGAAATACTGAGAGAGCAAAATTCAGGGAGCATCAAACAATGAAATCTCAAACCATAGCCAGGAAGGATGTAAAAAGGCCTCTGGGGCTGGACACTGGGATAATTGCTAACAGTGTCAGCCATATGTTTCTACAGTGATTTCTGGTAAGACAGCCCCAGAAAGCTCAACCATGCAGACTGCTGGGCTATTTTTTTCATTGCATCACCACCAGTGGGTCCCTGTTACTGCCTGCCCTGGCCCACGTAAGGCCAGCAGGAGGGCATCGGGAGGGCCTACATGCTGGCACAGCGGAGTTCACACTCACAGGAAGGACATCAGGGCAAGGCTGAAATCCGAGAGCTGCGACCTGGTGGTTTGGAAGGAAGAGCTCTATCTTTGCTGTTGGTTTTTTAAAAGGGGAAGAAGCACTGGCTTGGAGTCAAACCTCCGAAGAGTATGTCATTGGGAAGGGGAAGATCTCTTTGGATAATGATAAAGGTCTCCTTGTGGCCGGCTCGAATTTCAGGGCCAGTCAAAACAAACATGCAAGGGAAATGCAGCGGAGCCCTACAGGGCCCAGCTTGGAAATTGCAGATAAATAAATCTGAACCAGATAAATTAGCCAGAATATTCTAAAACCATAAATGAACTTCTACTGATTTATGCAGAGGTTTCCAAGGTGTTTCGAAAATGCGTGTGAGGAGCATTTACAGTCCCTAGTGGCACGGAAAATATTTCACAGCAGCAGGAAGCAGCAAAGCAAGTGTGGCGGAAAGCCCACAGCTGCAAATAACCTGCCGTCCTGGAGAAAGCTCATACTCAGGATGGGGTGTGTGCGGGGGGTCATCCTTAGAGAGACAGCAGGGTTCACTCCCCATTGCACAGAGGGGGAAACCAAGCCCCAAGTCGGGATGATTCAGACACATCTGTTCCCAGATGTTATTCTCATGCCCAAACCAAGTGGAGGGAAGGGATATTTTAAAAGAAGTGGGTGTGTAGAAATTCGAGCTTCCACAAAGGGCAGGAGAAAGGGACACTCCTGACCTGAAACTCAGACCTGAGGCTGTGGGTTTGAAGGCTTAGCAGTGCCAGATGGATGCTCAGGAATTGCAGGCCGAATAATTGCAGCTGAGGAATAAGGGGTCCAGATAGGGAGATAAAGAGAGTGAGAATGGGAGGGTGAAGGGATCAGCTGAGGGAAAGAAGAAGAGACTCAGAGGGAAGACAGCTCACGGGGTGGCTAGCTCCTCTAGAGCTGGGGAGGGATTTGTGATTATGGAAATAGAGGAAAGACATTTTCTTTGGAATGACTGGGTTTTATTTTATTTTACTTTTAGAGACAGGGTCTCGCTCTGTTGCCCAGGCTGAAGTGCAGCAGAGCTACCATGACTCGCTACAACCTTGACCTCCTGGGCTGAAGCAATCCTCCCACCTCAGCCTCCCAAATAGGTGAGACTCCAGTTGTGCACTACCACACTCAGCTAAGTTTTGCATTTTTATTTTTTGTAGAGACAGGGTTTCACTATGTTGCCCAGGCTGGTCTTGAACTCCTGGCCTCAAGCGGTCCCCCCATCTTGATCTCTCAAAGTGCTATGATTACAGGTGTGAGCCACCACGCCCAGCCATGACTGAGTTTTATTCTTAGTCTAGGCTCTCAGTATTTAGGCTTAGCTCGTGGGAAGAGTGAGCAGTGAGGGCAGAGCTCTTCTCCATCTCCGTCTCCCTAGAGCAGCTATTTTAAAGAAGGGTTACAGTTTGACTGTGAGTGGATCTGGGTTCCAGTGTTTGAGGCACCATGTCTTTGAAAGGTGGCATCTGTGCAGGGGTGAGTCCAGGTCTCCTGTCTCCCCTAGTTACCCAATCACCCCCTTTGTCTCCTGACACCTGCTTTCTGAGCGGTTAGAGGACCTCACCTGGGTCCTTATCTATGCTTGGACTTGGGCCACCATTATTAGTTCAAGCCTCTGAATTTCTCTGGTTTGCTTGAGTGATAAAAAATTCACTCTGTGGGGAAAGTGGGGGACAGAGCCCGAGGCTGAGGCTGAGAACGCCTTCTGATGGGACCTGTTCTGCACACCAAGTGTGGAGGATGGCTGTCCTTCAAGCACCTACAGAGCTGGTTACCCTGGGCCATGGGCCTGTTTGAAACTCACCTTTCCTCACAAGACCAGGTTAAATACCCTGACCTTCAGGAAGTCTTCCTGGACTAGCCCAGCCCAGAGGAATCTTTCCTTTCTGATCACATGGAGTGCCATTCTTCCAGTGTGTATCATGCTTGGTTTAGTAATGTTAATCAAGTAGACTGTACATGTGCATACATATTTTTATGTGTACATATCTACATCAACATCTAAAGCCCTCTCCAGCTGGACTAAAGGCTCCTCCAGGCCAGGAACCTTGTCTTTCCTCTTATTCATCTCTCTTTCTAAAAGTATTTCTTGGTTAATCGATGTATTGACTTCTTGGGTGCACTGCACATGTTCTTTTGATGGACGTTCATTTTATCAGAAGTTGAGCAGGAGACCATTGATTTAACATGCTCCCCTTGGGCCAGGCACAGTGGCTCACACTTGTAATCCTAGCACCTCGGGAAGCTGATATGGTTTGACTGTGTCCCCACCAAATCTCAGCTTGAATTGTATCTCCCAGAATTCCCACATGTTGTGGGAGGGACCTAGGGGGAGATAATTGAATCATGGGGCTGGTCTTTCCCGTACTATTCTCATGATAGTGAATATGTCTCATGAGATCTGATGGGTTTATCAGGGGTTTTCACTTTTGCTTCCTCCTCATTTTCTCTTGCCACCACCATGTAAGAAGTGCCTTTTGCCTCCCGCCATGATTCTGAGGCCTCCCCAGCCATGTAGAACTGTAAGTCCAATTAAACCTCTTTTTCTTCCCAGTCTTGGGTATGTCTTTATCAGCAGTGTGAAAACAGACAAATACAGAGGCTGAGGCTGGAGGATGGCTTTCAGGCCAGGAGTTTGAGACCAGCCTGGGCAACGTATTGAGACCATGTCTCTAAAAAAAGATTTTTTTAAAAAAAGTTAGCCAGATATGGTGGCTTGAACCTGTAGTCCTAGCTACTCAGGAGGCTGAGGCAGGAGCACTGCTTAGCCCCAGGAGTTGGAGGCTGCAATGAGCTAAGGAGGTGCCACTGCACTCCAGCCTGGGTGACAGAGTGAGGCCCCCGTCTTAAAAAAGGAAAATGCTCCCTCTGGTAGGAAGTAGAATTATAGTTATCAGAGGCTGGGAAGCGTTTGTGTGTATGTAGGGGAGGACGGGATGAAGAGAGAGTGGTTAATGGGTACAAATGTGCTGTTAGATAGAAGGAATAATTTCTTTTTTTTTGAGACGGAGTCTCGGAGTCTGGCTCTGTCACCCAGGCTGGAGTGCAGTGGTGCGATCTTGGCTCACTGCAAACTCCGCCTCCCGGGTTCATGCCATTCTCCTGCCTTAGCCTCCCGAGTAGCTGGGACTACAGGCACCTGCCACCACACCTGGCTAATTTTTTGTATTTTTAGTAGAGCCAGAGTTTCACTGTGTTAGCCAGGATGGTCTCGATCTCCTAACCTCATAATCTGCCCACCTCGGCCTCCCAAAGTGCTGGGATTATAGGCATGAGCCACCACGCCCAGCCAGAAGGAATAATTTCTAATGTGCAATAGCAGAGTAGGGTAACTGTAATTAATAACAATGAATTGTATATTTCAAAATAGCTAAAGGAGCAGACTTGAAATGTTCCCAACACATAGAAACCATAAGTGCTCAAGGTGATGGAGATTCTAAATATCCCGACTTGATCATTACACATTCTACACATGCAACAAAAGATCATATGCACCCCATGCACATGCACGAATGTCATGTGTCAATTTAAAGCATGCCCCTCCCCGTTGCTGTGCTCCATGAGTCTGTGTGTGGGGGGGGATATCCACACCCATCACAGCATAGTCCTGTGTCACTTCTACATAACAAGAAGGGCCAGGGACAGAGGTGGTACTCCTGGAGGGGGGACGCAGGCCCAGAACAGTTCACTTTTGTGGGTGTGAGGAGTGAGTCAGGCTTGGGACAGGAACGCGGACACCTGGGCCCCACCCTCAGAGATTCCAATTGAAGTGGTCTGAATTGGGACTCTGGCCTCAGTATTTCTTAAAAACTCCCAATGACTCCAATGTGCACCCAGGGTTGGAGATCGCAGATATATATACAGTGAAGTCAGACTGTCTCCTGGCTCCTGTGTTTACCTGCTGCTGTACCCGTCAGCACAGGTCTCCTGGTCTCTGAATCACAATCCCAAATTAGTGGGAGAGGATATCTGATTGGCTGAGCTTGGCACCACGTGTCCCTCTTGATCCAATTAGCCATGCCAGGGGGATGGGCAATGAACTATACAGCAGCTGATCCGCCACTGAGGAACCCCCCCTTGCATCTGGGGTGTATTTCCCATGAATGGGAAGGTCGTGGCGGGGCAGACATCCCCAAAGGTGACTGGCACAGCTGGTGTCATATGCTATGAAACTCTTGTTTGTTTTGAAGTCTGTGAAGTCTTTAAGGGCAGACATCATTTTCTGAAACCCTATGTATTAATCACGTTTTTGTTTTCTGTATTTTAGGATGCTTTGACATCTTGGAGCCCTGTGGACCCAGGAAGGGACTGCCCTTCCCAGGGTTGGCTATTTCCTACAGGCAGCAAACAACTTGCCTGCAAGATGCCTTCGATATGCAAACCAACTCATCCCAAGTCCATTCCCCAAACTGGCTCCTTTCATCAGGCTTAGGAAACCCTAGACATCATCCTCCTGCCCAAAGTCACCCTAGGGCCAGATACCATTCAACTAGGGACCACCCTGATAGCGCAGAGCCTGCTGAAGTTATTCAGCCTATCCAATCTTAAACTTGCTCAGTGGCTTGCCCTGCCTCACCCGTTCCTTCCCTTGAGAACCACAAATGAAGAAAAAACTTGGCCCATGCTTTTCCCTCACTCCTGCCTCCTGACCCGACCTGGTGCCTCCCTGTGTGGCTCTGAATGGTGTGACATGGTATGTCCCCTTCTCTTGGGAACCGTAAGTAACAAATGATCTTTTCAGTGGTGGTCATCTCCTAATCTGCTGGCCTTACCATATGATATTGTTTGAATATTTGTCCCCTTCAAATCTCCTGTTGAAATGTAATCCCCAGGGTTGGAGGTGGAGCCTGGTGGAGGTGTTTGCTCATGAGGGTGGACCCTTCATGAACGGCTTAGTGCCATCCCCTTGGTGACTAGTGAGTTCTAGCTCTGAATTTATGTGAGATCTGGTTGTTTAAAACAGTGTGGTACCTCCCCACTCGCTCTCTTGCTGCTGCTCTCACCCTGTGAGATGCCTGCTCTCTCTTCACCTTCTGCCATGAGTGGAAGCTTCCTGAGGCCATCACCAGAAGCAGGCACTATGCACCATGATTCCTGTACTGTCTGCAGAACCGTGAGCCAATGAAACCTCTTTTCTTTATAATTTACCCAGCACCGGTTTTTTTTTTTTTTTTTATAGTAATACAAGAACAGCCTAACACATCATCCCTGAATAAGAACAACCTCTTGGGTATGTTTTTAAAAATCCCAGCATCTGGCACAGTACCTGTTACATAGAAGGCAAGTGATAAATACTTGCTGAATTAAATATATGAATAAATGGATGGATGGATGGATGGATGGATGGATGGATGGATGGATGGATGGATAGACAGATGGACAGATGGATGGACAGATGGGTGGGTGGATGGATGCATGGATGAGAAGGCCCTTGAGAGTTTAGAGGGGGCATGGTATGAAGTTATATGCCTGATCCAGCCCTGGGTGATGGATGCCTAGACCTGTCCGCCCATGTTTCTTCCTCTGTCTTAGGAACCACAGGCAATTACAGTGGGATAACCAAATGGAGAGGCCAGGTGACTCCCTGACAAACAGCAATCACACCAAGACCTGCAGAAGAAAGGGTGTGGATTCAGTGTCCCAGCTCTTGAGGGCACTGTGTTTATAGGTGGAAATGATGAATGGATGTGCACTGACATTTATGTCACTGTGCTGGGACTTGCTCTCTCTTCTGCTCACAGTCTCTCTATATAGGATAAAAGATTCTGAGCACCAAAGAATTGTTCCATCTAGTCAAACTGGGGGAAACTGACAAACTCCATCTTGGTTCATTAGACCCATGGATGAATTATGGGATGTAGAGGGAAACTGTGCCTGGTGCACACTTAATGAACCCAGGGGCTCCAGTGATGGATGGATGGATGGAAGTGAACATTCATCTACTCTCACTTGCTCCGATGATGTCATTTTTAACCAACAGTGAACTTCACCCAGAAACCAACCCGGACACAGAGCAGAGATAAGGCGGGTGAGAGTGCCTCAGGAGGAATGTTAACCAGATTCCAGAAGCCTGCCAGTCAGTCCTGCTGTGAGTTCATTTAAATGCTCAGTTTAGCTCTTGAATTAAAACAAGACAGGGCTAAAACTTTAATCAATCCGGTTCAGCTGCCACACTCAGGCATGAGCAGAGAATAAAATGAAGGTCACAGGAGAAGTCCAGGAGAGAGAATCTGACAGTCTGTGCAGATGAATGAGGTTATGGCAAATGGCCTTTGAGATGAAAGGGAGGCCCAGGCCGGCAGTTCATTTAGAATAGGAGTGGCCATCTGTCAATAGCTGGGGCCGGATTCCAGATCCTTGCTCTTCTGGAGCATGCAGGGGTGTGTTGGTGTGCATGCGTATGTGTGTGTGTGTGTGTGTGTGCGCGCGCGCGCGCGTGCTCACCTACCAGAGTGGAGAAATAGGTAAGAAGCTACTAAAAGGAAAAACTCCTCTTCCATGTTCACCTAGTTAGAGATTTATCTTGCTTAGCAACTAACTTCAATGGAGAGTTCTTTTCTTGTCTTTTCTTCTTTTCTTTTCTTGTCTTGTCTTTTCTCTTTTCTTTTCCCTCCCTCCCTCCCTCTGTCCTTCCCTCCCTTCCTCCCTCCTTTCTTTCCTTCTTCCTTCCTTCTTTCCTTTCTTTTCTTTTTTTCTTTTTTTTCTTAGAGTCAGGATCTTACTCTGTTGCCCAGGCTGGAGTGCAGTGGTGCAGTCACGGCTCACCGCAGCTTCAACCTTCTGGACTCGAGTGATTCTCCCACCTCAGCCTCCCCAGACGTGGAGAGCACAGGTATGTGCTGCCACACCTGGCTATTTTTTCTTTTTTTGGTGGAGAAGGGGTCTTGCTATATTGCCCAGGCTAGTCTCATACTCCTGGCCTCAAGTGATCCTCCTGCCTCGACCTCCCAAAGTGTTGGGATTGCAAGCATTAGCCACCATGCCTGGCCTTAATTCATATTTCAATGTACATGTTACTTCTTCACAGAATCAGTTGACTTCAGCCTGAATTCCTGAGCTCAAGGAAGGTGTGGGGATTTTGAAACTGGTGCACATACATGATGGTGGGCCAAGCCAGCAGTAGTGTGGCCTTAAGTAGGAGCAAGGATGCTAGAACCCTAATTATTAGGGTTCTCTTGAGGGACAGAACTAATAGGATATATGCATATATGAAAGGGAGTTTATTAAGGAGAATTGACTCACAGGATCACATGGTAAAGTCCCACGATAGACCATCTGCAAGTTGAGGAGCCAGGAAGCCAGTGATGGATCAGTCTGAGTCCCCAAACCTCAAAAGTAGGGAAGCTAATGGTGCAGCCTTCAGTCTGTGGCCAAAGACCCGAGAGCCTCTGGCAAACTACTGGTGTAAGTCCAATAATCCAAAAGCTGAAGAACTTGGAGTCTGATGTCTGGGGACAAAAAGTATCCAGTACAGGAGAAACATGAAGGCTGGAAGACTCAGAAAATCTACTCTTCCATCTTCTTCTGCCTGCTTTAATCTAGCCTTGCTGGCAGCTGATTAGATGGTGCGCACTCAGACTGAGGGTGGGTCTGCCTTTCCCAGCCCACTGACTCAAATGTTAATCTCCTTTGGCAACACCCTCACAGACATACCCAGGAACAGTAGTTTGCATCTCTCAATCCAATCAAGTTGACAATATTAACCATCACAGATGCAAAGCAGGGGAAAAAGGGATGCCAGGGTCCCAAGACCAGCTTCTCCTCTGAACTGTGCTCAGCACCCTGCAAGCAAAGATACGTGGAAAGCCAACAGTCTGCTGTGGCTTAGAAAAGGCCCAGAGGTAGGCAGTGGAAAGTGGACATAGACGCTAGTGGTGTGGAACCAGGAGGATGCAGTGGAGGCCTCGAGGACCATCAACCACATCCAAACACTGTCCCCCAAGGCACACTACTCTCATTGCCTTGACCCCTCAGTGCCCTCTAGGACTTAGACACCATGCTAGGAAAGGAGACAAGCCCTGTGTTAACCAAGGCTGCCTCCGTCCTGTCTGTCCAGACAGCCCATCCACCGTGCCTTGGCCTACCTGCTTTCTCTCTGACTTTCTCCCTCCTGCCATCTCTTTCCCTCTCTCTCACATGCTCCAGCCACACTGGTCTTCTTAGAGGTCTGGCAATGCCAACACACACTTCTGTCTCGGCCTTTGCACTCGCTGTTCTTACTTCTTGGAATGCTCTATGTCCAAATATGCTCAGGGCTCCCTTCCCACTTCAACTGCTCATATATCATGTTTTCAGAAAGGCCTTCTCTGATCACCTTATTTAAAATAATTCCACCATCCATCAGTCTCTGTCCTGTTTTATTTGTCTTCGGAGAACTTATCACCACTGACATCATCTACATATATGCATACACACACACACATATCACACACAGGTGCACACACACACACATATATATGTATATGTCTGTATATATATATGCATGTCTCAGAGATATTGTGGGTTTAGTTCTAGACCTCCACAATAAAGCAAATATTATGATAAAGTGAGTCGCATACATTGCCCAGATCTATCAGAGGAATCACTATGGCAGCTATATAGCCTTATAAAATGTATTTCTTAAATAATACAACTTGAAGGTCAAAATTACTCCTTGATCCATAAGCCCCAGAATAGATTTTGTGTTAGTAGGCTGAAAACGACATTAATCTTCTTATATATCTCCATCAGAGCTCTTGGGTGCTTAGGTGCATGGTCAAATATTATGAAAGGGTTTTTTTGTTTGTTTGTTTGTTTCTGAGCAGTAGGTTTCAACAGTGGAATTAAAATGTTCAGTAAACTGTGCTATAAGCAGATGTGCTATTAGCCAGGCTTTGTTGTTTCATTTCCAGAGCACAGGGAGAGTAGATTTAGCATCATTCTTAAGGGGCCTAGGATTTTCAGAACGGAAAATGAGCATTGGCTTCAACTTAAAGTCACCAGCTGCATTAGAACCTAACAAGAGAGTCAGTCTGTCCTTTGAAGCTTTGAAGCCAGGCATTGACTTATCCTCTCCAGCTATAAAAGTCTTAGATGGCATCTTCTTCCAATATAAGGGTGTTTCATCTACATTGAAAATCTGTTAGTGTGGCTGCCTTCATCAATAATCTTAGTTAGATCTTCGGGATAACTTGCCGCGGCTTCTCCATCAGCACTTGCTGCTTTACCTGAAGTGCTGATGTTTGTGGAAATGGCTCCTTTCGTTATACCTCCTGAACCAAACTTTGCTAGCTTCCAACTCCTCTTCTCTTCCTCTTCTTCCCTCCTCCTTCTTCTTCCTCTCCTCCTCCTTCTTCTTCCTCACCTCCTCCTCCTCCACCTCCTTCTCCCCTCCCCTCCCCTCCCATCCTGTCCCCTCCTCTCCTCTCCTCTCCTCTCCTCTCTTGTCCTCTCCTCTCCTTTCCTCTCTTGTCCTCTCCTCTCAGTGTTTATAGAATTGAAGAGATTTACGGCCTTGTTCTGGATTAGGCTTTGGCTTAAGGGAATGCTGTGGCTGGTTGGATCTTCTATCCAGACCAACTACAACTTTCTCTACATCGGTAATAAGGCTGTTTCACTTTCTTATCATTTGTATGTTCACTGGAGTGGCACATTTAATTTCCTTCAAGAACTTTTTCTTTGCATTTTCAACTTGACTAACTGGCACAAGAGGCTTAGCTTTTAGCCTGTCTTGGCTTTCAGTGTGTCTTCCTCACTGTTTAATTACAGCTTTTGATTTAAAGTGAGGGTTGTGTGACTTTTACTTTCACTTGAACACTTAGAGCCCCTTGTAGGGCTATTCATTGGCCTAATTTCAATATTTGTGTGTCTCAGGGTATAGGGAGGCTGAACAGTCAGAACACATAACATTCATCTGTTAAGTTCGCTGTCTTGTATGGGTGCGGTTAGTGGTACCCAAAAACAATGATAATAGTAACAGCAAAGATCACTGATCACAGACCACTGTAACAGATACAATAATGATGAAAAAGCTCAAAGTATTACGAAAATTACCAAAAGGTGACACAGAATCATGAAGTGAGCATATGCTGTCGGAAAGATGGCCAGGACAGACTTGCTCCATGCAGGGTTACCGCAAACCTTCAATTTGTAAAACGCACAATGTTTGTGAGGCGCACTGTAGTGAGGCATGCCTGCATATTTGTTTATTTGTTGACATCTATTTTCCCCCATTAGGACGTTATTCCACAGAAGCAAGGACTTGGTCTTCTTCATTCACTGCTGCATCCACAGTGCTCAGGACAGCGCCTGTGCAGGAACCCCTCCTGAATGACTGGCATTTGCACACAGCCTTCTCCACTGCACCACGTGGACACAAGCAGTGTAGGGGATGCAGCGTCCATCTGCCCCTTGCTGCTCCTGTCGCAGCCTTCTGCCTTCAGGACCCACCATTTAAGCCTCTTCATCCTTCTCTACCTCTCCACTGCCTCAATCCAGAGAAACTTTATCCAGCCTGGGGCAGGGCTGTCTGGCTCTGACTGATCACATATTCTCCTAAATCTATTATTTATGCCTAAACCGTATGCCCTGAGTCTTTCAGGCCTGAGGCTGCTTATGCTCAAAAGCCGGGCTTTGAAATACAGAAAGCTTCTTTCCCCCTTAAAACTATGGTCTCTGCTGTGAGTTTCCAGAAGCCTATTTTGTAACACAGAAGTGAAAGCTTGATTCCTTTTACTGTATTTTGCAATGTCATCACTTCACTAATGCGAGGCATGTGAATGTCCCTGCGGCTGCCTATACCAGAGGGCAGGCCAAGGGGTTAGGAAGTAGGGTGAGGTTCGTGGATCAAAATATTATCTGTCACATACTCTGTAGTACAGGAACTCTCACTAAGTATTGCAAGTGTAAATGACCTTGGAAGCACTTTCTGGTTGGAGCCACAGCATTGGCAAACAAAGCTAAAAATAATAAACCCAGTGTTGCTGGGGACGTGGGAAACACCATGCATTAGGGATGCTGTACTCATTTGCTCCGATATTTCTGGAAAGCAGTCTGGTAATAGTGTATCAAGAACTATCAACATTATCCCCTGATGATGCATTGGTAATACCACTTTGGGAGATCTACTCCATAAGCATAAGCCAAAAGAAGCAAAAGAAAAACCATAATCTTGTTCAAAGATGATCATGGCATTATTTAGAAACAATGAAAATATCCCAGACAGGAAAGTGGTTAAGCACTATGATCTGTCAAGACAATGGGATAGTAGCTAAATCTTTGGGCTTAGGGTAGGATAACTACTTTAACAAATAACCACAAACCTTGGTGGCTTAGCACAATAAAGTTTATTTCTTACACACATTGCAACCCAATGTAGGTCAGTTGGGGAGACAGGTTTCCGTATGCCATCACTCAGGGACCTAGGCTTCTGTGTTTATTGGCTCCACGATTTCCTCCCTGTGTCTGATAGATCCATGAGGTGAGAACAGAGGATTGCAAGGGAGGTTTCACGAGCCAGATTCAGAGGTCTGGAGGCAACATTACTTCTACCCACATTCTAGGAGTCAGAACGCAGTCATGTGGCCACATCTAACTACAAGGGAGGCTGGGAAATGTAGTCTTGCTATAAGCCCGGGGTGAAAGGGGAATTGTCTGATGAACACATAGCAGTGATTGCCACACTGTCAACAAGTTACACGTTGACTATGCTGACATATGAGCACTTAAATATTAAATCATATTAAATAGACAAAGCAAAACACAGAAACACTAATTAGGACTGATTACTAATAACTATATACTTGCAATTATGTATACTGACCAACTCAGAAGTGATTTTAAAGTATTGTGGGCTTTGTAGTTGTATGTTTTGTCCTTACTGTAAAAAGAAAAATCCACAGGGCAGATAAAACTGTGGTTATGGATTCATGTGACCAGATGTGGAACTGCATTATGGTGTTTACCTTTTTGAAACTTTTTCATTGAAAACATAGAAGCTTGTTTGCAGCAACATGGATGAACTCGGAGGTCATTGTGCTAAGTGAAATAAGCCAGATATGGAAGGACAAATACTGTATGATCTCACGCATATGTGGAATCTAAAAAAGTTGAACTCATTGAGGTGGAGAGTAGAACAGCAGTTGCCAGGGGGTGGGGGCTGGAGAAAACAGGGAGACGTGCTCAAAGGGTTCAACGTAAGTTATAAGATGACCAAGTGCTGAAAATCTAATGGACAGATGGTAATGGATGTATTAATTAATTTGATCGTGGTTATCATTATACAATGTCTACATATATCAAATCATCACATTGTAGACCTTGAGTATATTCAATCTCAGTTAAATATTTTAAAATAAAAAATTTAAAAACATAAATGGAGTATCAGTATGAAAAAATAAAAAGAGTTTTCTCAGTTCTATTTTTCTGATTATAAAATAAATACCTGTTATTGTAGAAAATTAGAAAAGTGTTTTTTAAAGTATGTACTATTCTTCAGCTCACTGGCAAACACTGATGATACCACTTTACAGTTCTTTCTCCTAGGCATATATTTATATATTTAAGATGCTGTAGACTATTTTGCAGGCAGCATTTGTCATTTAACACTATTGCATAGGTATTTTTCCTTGTCACTAACATTATTTTTCAATTTTAATGTCTTTACAATATTTCATTATATAGATGCACTAAAATTTAAGCCACTCTCTGGGTGAGGGACATTGTTCCCATATTTTGCTAGTATAACTCACTCTCTAAGGATTATCTTTTACAAACAGCTTAGCCCACATTTTTAATTACTTTATAGGATGAAGTCCTTAAAAAGGAATTACCAGGTCAGAAAACATGAGTGTTTTCAAGGTTCTTGATACACATTGCCCAAACTGCCTTCCAGAAAGGTCATATAATTTATATTCCTCTCTCACTTTACTTTTATAGTATCCAGTACTATTAATATTTCCATTTTTTGCTAGTTTGATAAACAGGAAGCTATCTCTGGTGACTTTATTTTTAATTTTTTGGATTCCTTTTGTAGCTGAGTAGCTTTCTTATGTGTATTAGCCAAACATTTGTATTTTCTCTTTTGTAAATTATCTATTCATAACCTTTACGCATTTTCTATTTCTTTTTTCTTATTGATTTGTATGAATGCCTTGTATAGTAAGAATATTAACCTTTTGCCTGTCATGTATGTGGCTAATATTTTTTCAGTTTATTGTTTGCTTGTAATTTTTTGACATCTAGATGTTTACAATCTTTGTGTGATCTAATATGTTAGTCCTTTCCCTTGTGATTTCCTTCATTATTTTATACTTAGAAACTTCTTTCAATGCAAGGATTACATAAATACTCATCTACATTTTCTTATGGTTTTCCAAGTTTTTCAGGTATTATAATTTTAATATGTCAGTTTATTTTATTTTATGATGTGAGATAAGGATTTAGATGTTTATACCACCAAGAGAGCCAATTTTTTCCAAATCACATTCAAATAATTCATTCATTTCTCACTGACTTGTAATACCTCCTTTATTAGCTATGAGGCTCTTATTAAAATGCAGATTTTAGAATCTATAAAGTGAAAAATAACAATCCATCACTGACCACCCAGAGTTGTCATGAAAATATACAATTTATTTTTAGATAAATCTATAAATCACATGTATAAATCTATGTGAATAGAATAAGATAAATAGGTTGGGCGTGGTGGCTCTCTCCTGTAATCCTAGCATTTTGGGAGGCTAACAGGGGTGGATAGCTTGAGTTCAGAAGTTAGAGACCAGCCTGGGCAACATGGCAAAAGCCTGTCTGAACCAAAAACACAAAGAATCAGCCGGGCATGAGGGTGCACGTCTATAGTCCCAGCTACTCAGGAGGCTGAGGTTGGAAGATTGCTTGAATCTGGAAGGTGGAGGTTGCAGTGAGCCGAGATGGCGCCACTGAACTCCAGCCTGGGTGACACAGTAAGACTCCCTCTCAAAACAAAAATGAAAACAAACAAACAAAAAAACCCCAAACAACAACAAAAAACAATAAATGGATGCCACTTTTGGGGGTGGGGATCAGTTTTAAAAAGCAGATGAAAAAATGACAGCAATAGGTAAGTTCAAATTAAAAACGAGGAGGATGACCTGAATTCAGGTTTAGGTCTGTTTTCCTGGGGAGCTGACCTGACCTGAACAAAGTTCTCCCAAGAAACCTTTGACCTGGGGACAAAGGCAGCAGTGAGCCGGGCACTGAGGCTGACATGGAGAACGTGAGTCATGGGCAGATTTGTTTCTTAATTCCTAGAAAGCTCTTTCCCATAAGCCAAAACGTAGGGTTGGAAATGGGCTTGGGTTGAGAAGGTAGGGAAGGAAATGGGGAGGAGACATGGAAAAGTGGCTGCACATTTTTGTGGCATTTTCTTTCAGCATACAGACTATTAAATGACAGCTGGGCCACTTTGGGATGCTAAGTAACAGGTAGATTGCTTGAGTTCAGGAGTTCAAGACCGGTCTGGACAACATGGCGAGACTCCATCTCTACAAAAAATACAAAAAACAGCCAGTTGCGATGTTCTTCGCCTGTAGTCCCGGCTTCTTGGGAGGCTGAGGTGGGAGGATCGCTTGAGCCCAGTAGGCAGAGGTTGCAGTGAGCTGAGATTCTGCCACTGCACTCCAGGTGGGCAACAGAGTGAGACCCTGTCTGAAAAAATAAATAACATAAAATAAATAAATAAATGAATAAATAAATAAATGAAAGTGTTTTTCAAAAGTTGACATGTTCCAAATGTTTAATCAGATCTGGGCTGGTATACTCCTGTCTAACGCCATCTGAGGTTTTTCTGGAATTTTGGTCTGACTTCGGTTTGGACAGTGACTCATGAATGGAAGATCCCTTACACTCCGCTTTCCTATGGATGTGACCACACCTATAGGCTGTAAAATAAACCCCAGAGTTCCGCTGCTCACAGCCTTCCGTTTTCTTAGCTTTCCTTTTTCCATTTCAAAATAAAACTAAGTCATATTGCTTAGTATTCAAATGCTATGAGTCTAGACGGGAGATTATGAAGTGTTTTTTTTTGTTTTTTGGTTTTTTTCATGGAGGACAATGGTAAAAGATCTAATATCCATGCCACATAGCCCTGGGTAATTTCTTTTTCTGTCATCTTTAAGAATGATGCACAATGTGTGAATATGGCCCACAGTTGGGGCCTAATTATGATTCTCCAGCGAGTGCACCGCATTTTGGAGGAAGTCTTAAACGAGCACTTAAGCAGTAATGCCTCTGAGCACACCACTGTGGATCTGAAAGAGGGCTTTGATTCCTGCACCCGGAGCCACCGACGCCCACGCTGCTCCCACAAGCACTTTTATCACCAAGTTATTAGACCATTATGGTCTACGATTGTCTTTTACCGCCTTTGATTTTTTTCTGTTGTCAGACGTGAGGAAAGTGATGTGTAATACGATCCAAAATGCTCTTGTTTGTTTTAATCTGCTGTTTTAATATATTATGGCTTCCTGCCATTACCCTTCTCTAGCAGGGCCCTAGGGTCCCTTGGAGACAGTGGGAACCTAGAATGTGCTGGGCACTTTGGGGATTTGGTGCAAAGCGGTGGCATGTGTGCTCCTGCCAGGGGGGACCTCAGAGCTGGGAGTAGAGCTGGCAGCTGGGTCCAGAGGCTTTGGAGATCACTGTAAAAAAGAGTGGCCTGGGGACTGGGCAAGTGGAACTTGCTCTCCAAGAGATCTCTTCCAACTGTGAGTTCCAGCAGGTGTTTGTATGGATTTGCGGTCCAAAGCCTTCTTGGGCTTGAGGTGGGTTTAGGGCAGCTTCCCCAAACCCAGCTTGGCAATGGTGAGAAGAGATACCCGCTCCAAGAAGTGCTTCAAAATGGAGCTTTAGGGTGAGGTGTGGTCTTGGGTGATGGCATCTGTGATGATTACACACAAGTACAAAACACTCTAGTCTTGGCTCTGTCACTAACTGAGCACATCCTTTCCCTCTCAGAGCCACTTGGTCCCCTGTGTCTGAATGAAGAGTATGAGATTAGGCCCTTCATAATCCCCAGCCTCCCATCAGCTCCCTGGCCTTCATGGTATATTAACATAGGAAGCTGTTCCTGTTTCTCTTCCATCTTATGAGAAACCATTGGCTTCTCAAGGTCAGTGGCCAGCAAGCTGGGGAAGGCCATGAACAGGGCTATCTTTGCTCTAAATAAAGTTTTAATTGACATATAATAATTATACATATTTATGGGGTACATAGTGATGATGTCATACATACAATGTACAGTGATCAGATCAGGGTGATTAGTGTATCTTTGCTTTTGCAGTGATCACCAAAATCATCCTGGAAAGACCTCTGGGAGAGATGGCAGAGCTTGGTCCACTCTGCATGCCAAGCTGGCTGCTGGCAAGGAGGTTGATCATCTCTGATGGCCTTCAGCCACAGAGCAGCCACACCCTTAATAAGATATCCCTGCCTTGAAACCTTCGTTTAATCAATGAACGAATACTCAGTGAGTACTGAGTGTGTGTCAGCACACCAGCTCTTTTCCTTTTCATATCCGCCCTGTGAGACATGCAGGAAGGGTGTTTATGTCCTCTTTACAGGTGAGGCTGCTGAGGCACAGTGTTGGGGGCCATCGCCAGAACTGAGAGTGACTATGCAGATACTGGAATCCACTTCCCTTCACCATTAGACCAGTGCTTTCTCACTCTATTGTAGATGGCACATTACAGAAAAACCCTCACTTCTCAATTCCACCAAACACTGATCATTAAGGGAGAAGACAGGAGTTGGCCATATCTCTACACATCTCATTAAAAAAAGTTTCAATTTAAGAACTCTGGGGTGGGCATGGTGGTTCATGCCTGTAATCCCAGCACTTTGAGAGGCCAAGGTGAGTGAATCACTTGAGGTCAGGAGTTCGAGACCAGCCTGGCCAACATGGTGAAACCCCGTCTCTACTGAAAATACAAAAATTAGCCAGGCATGGTGGTGAGCACCTGTAATCCCAGCTACTCAGGAGGCTGAGGCAGGAGAATTGCTTGAACCCGGAAGGTGGAGGTTGCAGTGAGTCGAGATTGTACCACTGCACTCCAGCCTGGGTGACAAAGCAAGACTCCAACTCAGAAAACAAAACAAAAACCTCCGGAGAGGAAAATTAGAACATACCCATGTGTGTTTAAATTTCTGTTGTGATGGATCACTGTTCGTCAGTGTAAAACACTGTGCTTTGGCCACAAGTAGCAATAGAAAATAAAATTCAAAAGTCAAAACCTTGTTCATTATCTTGTGGGTAACAATGGCTTTAGGGGAGGAGGAATAGTTCCCTTAAAGGTAATTGATCCTTTAGTGCAAGATGGCAGATGAATGCAAAATTCCAGTGAAAGGACAGTAAAGATATCTAT